GAAGAGGGACAGAGGTCTTGTTTTTTTAAATATGTATGCAGTTTGTTTGATTTATAGCCTGTCCTTCTCCTGAAACAGTTCATGTGTCCAGTGTAACTCCCTGCCCAATAAGGAAAAAGAACGTAACCCAGAGTTATTTGCCATCCCAGTTGTTCCAGATCTAACAGCTGGCTGTTATGCTTGACAGATTTCCCCAAGGGATATGGGGAGAGTGATGGTCTTGGGCCTCTGTGATGCATTGAGCTTGTGTGCAGCTTCCTGCCACTGGCTGCCAGGAGCTTGTGTACATAGTCTGCAAAGACTGTGATGTGTAGCTTACAGTTACTGTTCTTTAGGAGAGGCTTAAGGAGGGGCGAGTGAATCAAAAAGCAACAGGAAGGAAGAACACTTGAGGAATATTCTCTCTGCATCGGAAGAGGTTTTGCGTCTCACATTAAACTGCAGGCCCTGCTTCGAAGGCCTGTCACGATCTGTGCCTGCATCCTGGTGATCTCTTGAAGGAGCTGAGCATATTAGAACCTCAGGAAAAGACAAGGCAAAGCTCTCTTCTGGTATATTGGGAGGAGCAGTGATCTGATTTCATTACTGAAATAAATACAGTTAATAGAGTATAATTAATAAATAATTAGGAATAAAGGAATGGTTTGAACAGTTACTTCCCTTATTCTTTGATTATTTTTCCTGGAAATTCTGCATGTAGCTCTGCTCATTAAAATTTTTTCTTTCCAAGAGCTTAGCGTGTGTACTAGATTTGTTGAAAGTCTCCCAGTTAAGGTGTCTTTTCTCAGCAGAATACTGAGTTCTTTCTTGCTTTTCGTTTTCTTCCTGTTTATGCGGATGAGGCTGCCCATTCATTTTTGCTTGCCCTTTAGAGCAGGTGCAACTTCCCTCAATGCGTTTTCTCTGGTTTTCAGATTATTCTGTCAAAGCCACTTATCCTGCCAAGCCTTATTAATGACTAAATGAAATTTCAATTTTTCTTCCATTTATCATTTTTTTATTCTTATGCTACCTTCCTGCTATCTAGGTTCCAAGGCCTATAAGAAAGAGACCTTTATTTTATTTTTTCACTTTGCATGTATGCTAATGGTTTCCTCCATTTTTATGAGAATTTGGAAGTTGTGCTTTGACACTGTACCTTTTTTAAAAAAATTTCTTCTGCTTTAATTGGCCATATTTATATGCAGAGCAATATAGTTTTCCAGGTGCTCTATCTAGAGGAGAAGCCCTTATCCATTTTGTTTTGCATTAAGAGGCCTAGTGATATTCAGCATTCTTCTGTGCATACCAGAAGTTTGCACTGGCCGTGTGAGAGACTGTAGAATGCAGGGCTCAGACCTTCATTGGTAGGAGGTCTTTCCAGAGTGCCTGCCATCCTTTGGCAGTTCAGATGGACATTTAGCTCAGGAAGGAAAACATTCCTGAGTGGTATGTGCACTCATTGTGAGCTGGAAAGGAGGCCTCCGTGTTCTAGCCACACTCTGCAGGTGTTAAGACTTTTAAGTCTACTGCTGCCATGACTTACGTTATGTAGCACACTGGTTTAAAGTGCAGGTGGATTCATATTCACAACATGAGAAGCTGATTTGTTCCACTTCTTGAAAGACAAATCAGAGAACAACAGAATAAACTTCTCCTCCTCCTCCTCCGTCTTGAAAAGAGTATTTATTTATTTTATTTATGGATCAGGGGTGCAACAGGTTGCTTTGTGCTCTTTTCAAGTCTCTTTCCATATGCTTCTTTCAGGTTATGGTGGCTTACAGCTGTCTTGGAGAACACAGATTAAGTGAACTATGATGGAGTTGAATTTCTCCATCATTAAGAATGTATATGTGACTGTCAAATTACTCATGATTATTAGGTCTGCTTTTTTTGCATGATATAATATCATTCTAGAGATTGCTGGCCTTTGATCAATGAGGCAGGATGATCCACAGGGACTAAAGTCAGTGAGAGAGCTGGAAGTTCTGAGTAGTTTGTTGAATGCTCCTCAGGTCTATGCAGAGATGGGAAACATTAGTTTTCTGGGCTACAACTCCCAGAATCCCATACCTAGTTTGCCCTGGCTGGGGTACATTGTCCAGAAAAGTAGCGTTTCTCATCTGTGGGATGAAGGAAGGGTGGCTCTTGTGTATACACAGAGATGGAAGATGGCAGTGTAAATGATGCTCAAGGTATACAAAATGAGAAGTTTAAGCGAATGACACATTCATGGTTTCATAAAGTGTATTGACACTATTCTTCATATTCTACCATTTTCTTCTAATGCCATTTGAAGATGAAATTGCTACTGCACAACACTAATGTTTCCTCTGGGATATAACATGACTTTATTCTTTGGGAAAATGTAATGTTCTGCTGTTTCAAAAATTTGAATGCCAAATAGACAATAATAGAGGCAAAAATTTTCTAAAAATGGACTGAAACAAAAATCATAAATTTTGTGCAGACACGGAGTTGGGATTTAGAGGGTAAGAAGTCATTGGCTTAAGGATGGAAAGGAGAAATAAAGTGATTAGTATGGTAGCTGTAACAAAACAGCTCAAGATGGTTTAAGCCTCAAATGTAGTGAATGTCTGGATGAAGTGTGAAGAGGGGAGAACAACAGAATTGCTCTGAGAACAACAAAACAACAGTCCTGCTGTAGTCCAATCTGCCCTGCCAACTGGCATGCCAGATATGAAATAGGGCATGATTAAGAAATATCAGAGAGTTTACATGTGTGTATGGGTTGGTTGGAACGAGGTAGGCTTGGTGCTTGGATGTAATTACTTTGTAATTGCAGTTGCCAAGAAAACTTCTAAGCCTTTTCCTCGCAGTTCACTCCGTCCTGCTGCTGTAATTCAGCTTGATTAAATATTGGGGAAGAATTTGCCTCCAAATGTCAGTGTATTGGAACCCAGTCTCCCATGTGTTTCAGCTTCAAACTTAAAAGTCATTTCCTTAAGACCCCTCTCTTGCTCACCCTCTACTCTCTACCATCAGGACAGGGCAGACCTATCCCGCAGGGTTTAAATGAGTATCTTTCCATGTTCTCACTCCAGGCTTCATGTTTTCAAAACAAAGCAAAGCAAGGCGTGCTGCTTATATACCGCCCCATAGTGCTTCAAGCTCTCTCTGGGCAGCTTACACGTTAATGATGCAGGCTTCACTTTGCCCCCCCCCCCAGCGAGCTGGGTGCTCATTTTACCCACCTCGAAAGGATAGAAGGCTGAGTCAACCTTGAACTGGCTACCTAGGACTGAACCCCAGGTCATGAGCACAGTTTTGGCTGCAGTAAAGCAGTTTAACCACTGCGCCACAAGGCTCTTTTCATTAGAATCCCATAAATTTTGTTTGAGCCTCTTTTCTTTAATAATCTGATATGATGGCAGGGTGTGCACAGCGAGGGCTTGTTTCGTCATGTGGTAGCTCCCGCTGAACGCAGGGGCTGAGGCAAGCTCATAATTGCAGTGTTTGTTTGGAAAGCAGAGTGACGCATTCTGTGTAGAGCTCTTGAGACGGCAATTTTTTGTGGTGTTCCATCACTGTGTGATTAGCTTTTGTGCCTTGATGGTTTCCCCTGTGCCTCCACTATTGCCACTGCTTCTTTGTGGTGAATTACTTGCTGTACACCTCTGTTTGGGATGCTGCGCTTGTAAAGACCATTTTGTGGAGAGCAGGGACGTTGTTCTGAAGGTCCTGGAGAGTTTTAATGAATAACTCCCTGGAATGACATGAATTGCTTTGCAAGAAAGGCTTCCATTCTTGTTGAATCTGTTTAGGCTGGCTTTAAATGGGCCTTTGTCTCGTTTGTTAAGGTTATTTTACAAGCTTCTCTGTGCAGCTACAGGGAAGATGCTCCCTCTGACATATCATGAAAAGGAAGACATGGAACCAGAGGACAAGAAGAACATGTTTTCATGCTTTCTCTAAAGCAAAATTAAAACATCAGGTTCCCCCTCCCCCTCTGAATTCCTCTTGTTGAAGACTGGAACCCAACCCTTGCCTCTCACATAGAGTCTTTATTTGAGGAAGAGTCAGAAACGCTTGGGAACTCCAGAAAAAACATGTTCTCAAGCCTGGAGAATTTAATATCTCAAGACAAAATTTCAAGGCAATTTTTTTTTGCTGTCCATCTCCCATCATATTTCCTCTAAGAAACTGTCTTTGAAGATGTATGCTGATGTTGTTTCACAGCCAGTGCTTGTAAGCCTCAGGTTGAGAACCTGTGGTTGAAGCAGTTGTTCTACAATAAAAGTAATATTGTTGCCGATTATAAATACAGTGATATATTACGATATGATTTTTGTACCATCTTTCCCATTCTGCTACCCCTTCACATGGGATATTCTGAATCAGCTTCTGTGTGGTGAGTTTCTAGTGCTACTTTTGACTGAAAAACACACAAATGTTAAGATTTTTTTAAAAGAAGGTACGATGATTGTTTTGGCCATTAGGGTGTTTTCCCATTTATATTTGTTACGGCCTTAGTCTTTAGGGCACATACAGTGGTGCCTCGCATAGCGAGGTTAATCCGTTCCGGATTAACCTTCGCTATGCGAAAACATCGCTAAACGGGAATAAAAAAGCCATAGAAACGCATTGAACTTCGTTCAGTGCGTTCCTATGGCTTTTAAACTCACCGTTAAGCGATGCTGTCCCATAGCGCCGCCATTTTCGCGCCCTCTGTAAGCGAGGGCAGGGAGCAAAAATGCGGCGCGGAACTTCCGGCGGCCATTTTGGAACCGCCGATCAGCTGTTCTCCCGGCTTCGTTATGCGATATTCGCTAAGCGAAATGCTTAGCGAATATCGCAAAGCGAAAAATCCCCATAGGGGCCATCGCTGAGCGAATGCTCCAGCGATGGCCCAGAGCGCCTCGTTAAGCGATTTCATCGCTCAGCGAGGCGCTCGTTAAGCGAGGCACCACTGTACCTACAACAGACTCTTCTTCAAGCTTAACGTTAGTTTTGCTTTTTGCCTGCTGCTTTTTGAACTTGCTTTCTTCTGTCTTTTGAAGGCTCAAGTGTCCCAGACTTTGGAAGAAGCTGGAAATCAGAAGAAAAGAGCAGACATGGTAAGTCCCAGGCTTTGAAGAATTTGTATCTTTCATTAGTTCCAGTAACAATGAGGAAAATCAAAGTTCCAGTTCATGTAAAAAGAGAAACCCAGATATGTGTTCATTGTAATGATGGGGGCCTCAGGGCGAGCATTCATCCCTCAACCTCGGTGGGCTCCATGTGCTGTCTTAACAACTGGATGGAGCTTGTGAGGTTCCCTTAGCAGAGCCCTTCGTCATGGAAAAAGGTGAGAGAAACGTACGTATCAACCCACACTATAGCTTCCATGTGCATGCGCGCACACACACATACACACACATTCATTGTAATGATGGGGGCCTCAGGGCGAGCATTCATCCCTCAACCTCGGTGGGCTCCATGTGCTGTCTTAACAACTGGATGGAGCTTGTGAGGTTCCCTTAGCAGAGCCCTTCGTCATGGAAAAAGGTGAGAGAAACGTACGTATCAACCCACACTATAGCTTCCATGTGCATGCGCGCACACACACATACACACACACACTTCCACATGTCATGGAAAAAGGTGAGAGAAATGTACGTATCAACACACACTATAGCTTCCATGTGCATGCGCACACACACACATACACACACTTCCACAATATAGTTTTCTACAGGCTGGAAGCCTAGTGCGTGAGTGCCTTGAGCTTCAGCTTGTCATTTTTATGTGTCCCACATGCATCCCTGAGATAACGCTTCCTTGTCCTAGGAGTACCACTTTCAGGGAAACAGTCCGCTTTTCCTTTCTACATGCTGACTTAAAACAGACCTTGAGGGCTGCATTTAATTTCTAGTAAAGGAGTGCTTTTGTTTCTGTCCATGGAGTTTTCTTGGCAAAGATACTGGAGTGGCTTGCCAGTTCCTGCTCCAGGTGGACTGCGTTTAGTCAGAACTCTCCACTATGACCTGTCCATGTTGGGTGTCCCTACATGGCATAGCCCATCGCTTCTCTGAATTACTCAAGCCCCTTCGCCATGACAAGGCAGCAATCAGTGAAGGGGTGATTCAAAGAAGAGGTGGCAAGAATACACAGAGGAATTATACCAGAAAGATTGGGATGTCCCGGACATCCCAGATAGTGTGGCTGCTGACCTTGAGCCAGACATCCTGGAGAGTGAAGTCAAGTGGGCCTTAGAAAGCCTGGCTAATAACGAGGCCAGTGGAGGTGATGGCATTCCAGCTGAACTATTTAAAATCTTAAAAGATGATGCTGTTAAGGTGCTACACTCAATATGCCAGAGGATTGGAAAAGATCAGTCTACATCCCAATCCCAAAGAAGGGCAGTGCCAAAGAATGCTCCAACTACTGTACAATAGCACTCATTTCACACGCTAGCAAGGTTATGCTCAAAATCCTACAAGGTAGTCTTCAGCAATATGTGAACTGAGAACTCCCAGAAGTACAAGCTGGATTTTGAAGGGGCAGAGGAACTCGAGACCAAATTGCTAACATGTGCTGGATTATGGAGAAAGCCAGAGAGTTCCAAAAAAGCATCTACTTCTGCTTTATTGACTATGCAAAAGCCTTTGACTGTGTTGACCACAGCAAACTATGCCAAGTCCTTAAAGAAATGGGAGTGCCTGACCACCTTATCTATCTCCTGAGAAACCTATACGTGGGACAGGAAGCAAGAGTAAGAACTATATATAGAAACATTGATTGGTTCAAAATTGGGAAAGGAGTATGACAAGGCTGTATATTGTCTCCCTGCTTATTTAACTTATATGCAGAATACATCATGTGAAAGGCAGGACTGGATGAATCCCAAACTGGAATTAAGATTGCCAAAGAATTATCAACAACCTCAGATACGCAGATGATACCACTCTGATGGCAGAAAGTGAGGAGGAATTAAAGAACCTCTTAATGAGAGTGAAAGAGGAGAGTGCTGTGGTCCATGGTGTCATGAAGAGTCGGACATGACTTAACGAATAAACAACAACAAAGGAGTACTTATTTCATGGCTTAAAGATTTTGCACATTTCATGGTGCAGTGTTCAAAACTTTTATACTCTGTGATTAAATGCCAGAATACTAAAGTAGTAAAATAGGCTTGTCGTATTTAAAAATAAGTTCTGAATCTCCTGGTGGCTGTGAACAGAAATGTAGTCCTTTGTATGCTGTCAGATATATTTCTGAGAAAGTTATTCATTAGATTGTTAAAAGGGCTCTGTTGGTATGATTATGCACAATTTTTTGGCAAACAGATTTCAATATTAATATTTTCCTTCCCCTGTGTTCTTTGGTTCACTTAGTTTTTATCCTGTTGAATGATTTATACACATTCAGTGGCTGGAGGATATGGATTGTGGGTTTAACAAAAAAAAATATTTATTTATCTGTACCATTCTTTATATTCTTCTGAAACTTACATTTCTGTGTTTGGCAGTCCAAGACCTGCAAATGAGCAGGTGATAAGGCTCACGGTCAGGATATTTCAGCTCAGGCGAACCTAAAGAGCACAAAACAAAATGTGAACACTGAAAGATTTATGGAAATCTGTTTGTATTCATGGAAGCAGAATGGGATATGCGTCATAAGCTGTCATTAGAAAAAATGTATGCTGTGGTCTATAGTTAAATACCAATTAATGAAACCCCATGCCGTCTAGCCACTGGCCTGGAGCATTCACACACTACAAAAATCTTGATAAGTTCTTTCCACTGGAAAGAAATACATACAGGCAGAACCCTGGCAGTGTGATTGGCAGTCGCCTAGACTGAAGGCATGCAGGCCAGTGAACAATCCGCAGCAAGGTATATTTGAGCCTCAGAGCCTAGCAGAGGCACAGAACTGGTTATGGCTGCACTCTTTCAGTTCCTCCTAGTGAGCAGCCACATGGTGCAACTGGATGGATCAAACCTGGTAGAAATAACATGAACGTCTTCACCTCTTCTGCCCCTGTTTGTTCACCTAATGGGATCTTCCACCTGTTCTACTTAAGGCTGCGGCTCCCAGCTCAGCGCACCAGATTGCATAACACCTTTCCCCCGTAACCTCCTTTGGCTCCAGACTGAGCTAGGGACCTGTTGCCAGATTTAGTTGGCCACAGAGTCCCAATTGGTCTGACCAGCAGTATGTCTCCCATTCCTTTCCTAGAACTTGGTCTTGGACAGCCCAGGTAGAGAGCCTGGGTCTTCTACATGTGTGCATACACACGTTGTTGTTGTTGTTGTTTAGTTGTTAAGTTGTGTCCGACTCTTCGTGACCCCATGGATCAGAGCACGCCAGGCCCTCCTGTCTTCCTCTGCCTCCCGGGGTTGGGTCAAATTCATTCTGGTAGCTTCGATGACCCTGTCCAACCATCTCATCGTCTGTCGTCCCCTTCTTCTCTTGCCTTCACACTTTCCTAACATCAAGGTATTTTATTTATT